AATATATATATATATACACATACATATACAATGTGTACACCCAAAAACATTGACAATTATCTAACGCACATTTAGGGCCCATATCCAGTGCGACCCGGTGCAGTTCGCGCCCGGATGTCACTGGATCGCATAGATCAAGCTGGGAACGCGAGGTACAGGAAAGCCCGCCGTTCCAGTGCTATCTGAAAAAATTCTGCAAGCACTATTTTTTCAGATCACACTGAACTGGAACAGAGGGCTTTCCTGTACCTTGCGTTCCAGTGCAGGCGATCGCACTGCGGGGGGGTCGTGTCTGCGGTGCCATTGTCATTAATTGCACCCACACACCCCAGAACGCGGCCTGGCTTGATCTATGTGATCCAGTGCGCTCCGGGCGCGAACTGCACCGGGACGCACTGGATGTGGTTTGACTGGGCCCTTACATGTCATGTCTCAGTCATGTTGAAATCTTGTTGTTTTTTTTTCCTTTCTCGAGTTTTCTTTTCTCAACGGCACACACAGAAAATAATTTGTGGTAAATAATTTTACACAGTAAATGAATTGCAGAAATTAAGTCTAGAGAGATCTCCCCTCCTCCCCCATACACAGCTCATGTCCCATGATCTATGCCACCGGTGACATCTGCCCTCTTTCCCCATACACACAGCTCATATCCTAATATCTGGGACATCTGCCCTCCTTCCCCATACGCTCATATCCCATTATCTGTGCCACCAGTTTTATCTGCCCTCCAGCATACACAGCTTACTTTTCTGTGTCTTGCCACCAGTGAGATATCCAAATTTCATAGCGCTGGATGTCATTTTTACAGGCAGGGTTTTTAACCCTTTTGCTGCCCCATCTTTTGCACATGTGTTAAAATGTACATTTTAGGCCTGAAGATTAACCCCACCCCAGATTATATATTTCCTGAAAGCAGAGGCCCTGTAAAAAAAAACAGGGGGTAGTTGTAATTTTTTTGTGTTGCATTATATTAGCGCATCTGTTTATTAAACCCACATTTTTAGTAAAAAGTACGCTAAAGTTAGTTGAATGTGCATAAGCACATTATGTTACCCAATTTAATATATAAATGATGAGGTTGTGCTGAGTAAAGAGATACCAAACATTTCAAGCTTCAAACTGCGTGTGCCCGTGAAACTTGGCCAGAAATGTCAAGAAATACTTTGCTGGGCAATGTATATTTTGATCTGGACACATCGCACAACTTTTGTATATCGAGCATGTTGGAAATTAGCCGAGAATCGTACGATTTTCGGCTGGTTTTTAACATGATCGAGAGATCACTGCCGAACGGGCCGGTGTGCACACGCGCACACTGCCCGTTCAGCATTGCAGTCATTGGAAGCCCGCCCCTCAGGGGGGCGGGCTTGTGATGATCGCAAGTACGATCTGCCTGTCCAAGATGGGCAGATCGTAAATTTCTTTAAGTACTTTACAACCCTCGCAAGACAAAAGTCTTGCGAGGGTTGTAGAGTGTATGGGCACCTTTATACTGGTCTGTATTTGATAAGCTGTGCTGTCAGTAAGCGTTATGAAATGTAGAGGTTGAGCAAAGATACAAAGAGGATATTCATCAAAACGAAAGCAGACAGAATCTGGAGCAGTTATCTGAGGCAACCGGTCAGCTTATATCTTTCATTTTCAAAGCTTAACTGAACAAACTGAAGAGAGAAGATGATTGCCACATTGCCATGTACAGCTGCTCCAGTTTTGTTTATAAATTGCTGTTTTTGTTTGTTGAGTAACAGAATACAGGGTCATTGCCACAAAGTGGGATTTGTTCTCATTAGCTACTCTCCTGCTGGAGGGTAAATGTGTACGTGTTAAATGGCTATAGCCAGCAAATGTTTTTAGTTCTAGAGTGGGGAAAATCCAAATTGTATTGCTGTCTGTATTTCTACTGAGGAATTTTTCCATGACTTCCTGGTCTTGTGCCATGGTACCACTGGAACAAGAAGTGCTCCCATTGCAGTAATTAAAGGAGAACTATGAGGTGAGTGATTTCCACTCATCCTCTTAGTTAGAAGCTGTCACAGGTCGGCTCTATAGATTGAGAAGCGAGCAGAAATATGCAGCTGATCCGCTCACTTCCCTATAGTCTCCATGCAGTGATCGGTGACTGTTAGTCACGGCTCCCCGCAGGGATTTCCCCCTCTCCTCTCCGATCCTCCAGCGCTGAGTGGAGGAATGAACGGGGGAGGGGGCGGGCACAGCTGGCTCTGCCTCTAGATAGGCAGAGCCAGCTGTCACTCACGCAGCTGGGTGGATCTCGACAGTATTGTCGGGATCCGTCTGGGCTGCGGCGCTCTCAGTATATCACATGCAATAGCAAGTGATATACTGAGCTTTGGGTCATGGGAGGAGGTTAGTATATGTCCTCCCGTGACCCTAAAGAGAACTATGGAGAAAAACACTTACCCCATAGTTCTCTTTTGAAGCCTGACATATTTTTCTTTGTGTGTGTCACTTTTGCATAAAATTCACTTCCATACCTCTTCCAGTTACAGCTTGTCCTACCCACAGGAATAAGTAAAGAACCTCTGCAAAAGAAATACAGCAATAAAAGAACTGTTCGAAGTCCTATCCCCCCCCCCACCCCCCTCCAAAAAAACCCTCAACATGTTTGGCTTTATGGACATCCATTTACCCTTTAGACCTATAGACCTACTGATTTCTGTAGCCCCCCTTTTTTTTAACAATGCTCTGCTTTTTAATTACATTTAGGATCTTTAAAGCAGAGCTCCAGCCAAAAAAAGATAATAACCAATGAACAGCCACTTAAAAGATAAAAGGACCAAATCAGCTTCTGCTTCAATATTCAACTTTGATCCAGAGATTTCTTCCGCGTTACTTTTTTTTTGCCACCATCCTCATTGTGATTGCTAGCATCATTCAACCCATTCCATCCTGAGCCCCGGTTGTCCTTGACCTACCCGAGCCTGTGACTGGACAGTGAAAGAAACAGCAGCACAGTGGTGCATTAATTGCCAGTAGATGTTCTCAGTCTGATGGTCAGCATCATTCAACCACCGACTCCCTTCTGAGCCCAGGTTGTCCTGGACCTGCCCCAGCCTGTTACTGGACAGTGAATGGAGACGCAGCAGCACAATGATGAGTTTGTCTCTTTTTCACTGTTTCTTCCCCTATCAGCATACTTCTCACCAGTACATGAACTGATTTGCTCCTTGTGCTGCTTCTTTTTCTCACATTCCAGCCCTGCTCTACAAGAATTAAAGAGTCCAGTACCAGGTCAAATTCAGGTACTTGCATTTGGAAAATCTTTATAATGGTATATTAATGATTACAGAGCTGAAATAATCTGTGTCTTTCTTATCTGCCTGAGTTCAGCTTTGGTTCCGTTATGACAGAATATTGTTTGTGCTAATCTTTGATCGCTGTCTTATTTTGCTGCCTCATCAAGTGATGAATGTCTACACTTATATGCAGGAAGAGCTCAGTATTTGATTGGTACAGTGTTGTCAACACTTCTGCTTAAGTACATCATTTAATGTCTGTGCCACTCCCTCTACTGTTCTGAAAGATCTGTGTTGCCTGTATTCCCACTAGAGTTCAGCGCACGATTGCAACGGAAAAAGCAAACACAGGTTTTTAAAGCTGAAACCTCTAATTATACTTTCGATTGCCTTTTAAAAGGTTTTGTTGATGCGTTTGCTCTAATTGCTTGCTGAATTATTCACATCTACCTTTGTATGCTTGCTGTAAATTATCTATAAAGCCGTGGCTTATATTGTCGAGCAGGACCGTGGCGAGATGGCTGCTGTTGACACAGGTGCCCAGGTTATTAGATGACATAGGTGTATACTCTTTTACGACATAGCCCCTCCTGCCTTAGCCTGGCTTCTGTGCAGAGTACGCGGCTGTATTGTAAGTATAGCATTTTGCTTCTCACTTTCACATCAAGTAATGTAAAGTAGGATCAGGTACTACCTAATACAGGTCTATGGATTCATGCTTCATAGCTTAAAGGCACTAGTGGCTCTTGGGATTTTATCTGTCCGTAATTGAATGTGATCTATAGTTTATAAATAGCTGGGATAACATTCTGCCTGTGGGGGGAAAATAGATTTTATCAGTCAGTTTTTGCTAGTTACGTTTTCATTAGCTTCATGGCTTTATTTGCCATTGTTATGTATATTTGATATAATTCTGTATTGTGCATTTTATATTCTGTAGAATTCATTAGCCGACCTAGTTTATACTAGGAGCAGGTAACCAATGCTGTTGTACCTTTATACACAGACCATATGTGAAAAAAGGTTAAATAGGTTACACTAGCTCTTTTTGTGTATTTTGGACACGTATTTATTTTATT